CCGATTTTGCATAATATCGAATAACGCGCGACATTTGATCGAGATAAAAAAAAATAAATAAATAAATAAATCTTTTGCTCCAATATCTTTCGCGTATTGGCGACAATTGACGTGTCGCAATGATGCATTCGCGATTTGCGACGTCGATGCCTCGAGGGTGTGCGAAACGGCGTCGCCTTCTTCCTCCCGGAGGCTTTGTGTGATCCGAAAGTATGTCAGAACTAAATCTTCCGTTCGACTTAGTCCGACGAAGCGATCGTAAATCCGCATCGCGATCGAAATCGGCGTGGTCTTGCCCCGCGTTTCGATACTCGAAATTCCTATATACGATTCGGTGCTCATCGCGCGAGAAATCGGTCAGCCTCACCGGCTGCATACCTCCGCGTATATCTACCGTGGCGCCTCGAAAAATGTCAATCAACTCACGCGTTCATTATACAAATTCGATGCCGACGCGCAGGAGGACTTGGCAAATTCGCGTATTTGCGTACGAGGTGCCCATGCGAAACACCATTTGGGCTACTCCCAAACGAAATTTTTTTTATCGCACATATGATTATATTATTCCTTTAACAAAAATTAACGTTATATTGTTATTATTTTTATTAAAAAAATGCAAATTTTATTTATGACAACGGGGGGTTTAATCGCGCTGAAAAAAAAAAAAAAACAGAGAATGGCAAAATACGTAAAATTAAAATCGCGCTTCACTCGCTGTGGTTCGCACGGAAAGGAATTTTCTCGCTCGCTCGCACTTTATGGTAATCGAGCGCTTCGATACCGTATACAAATGTAATCCTCGAATATGCATCGCGTGACGGAAAGATTTTGCAGGGTGCAACGTGCGTTGAGAGCTACGTGCGCGCGAGAGAAGAAGAATCTTCGTGTATTACGCGCGCGGCATCTACGCGCGCGGCTATACATTTCCGTTGTAATCCGAAGACGAGTTTCAGCCGCGCGAAATCCGAGAGATTAGAGCTTAATCGTGAGAGTCTAATTGCTCTCCCGAGGCTACGGTAACTGTTCCAGACTGGTACGTTGTGCGCCAAGAATACCGGATCTTCATACATACGTACAGGCGTGGCGAAGCACTCGAGGGGGAAGAGCTCGGAGAAAGTTCTATCCCGAACGCGTGTGCGATACATCCACGCGTTACCGTTTCGTAAAAAGTGTTTTCCAACTTGTGTCGTACGTGCGTCGTCGTTTCCAACGCGCGGTCACCATACGCATGTCAACCGAAGAGTAATGATATTTTTGCGCGCGGAGGAGGAGAAAAATAAAGATGGCAGAAATTGTACATCCGTATTGCGATCGATGATGAAAATTATGTTTCACGCGAGAACAAACTGCGACTATTATTAATCGACGTGTTTCTTCGTGCGTTAACGCGTGTTCGACTTTCTATTAAATGCTTTTCTTTTTCAACAGCGGACGGATCGATTTTAAAAAGATCCGTTTTCAACAGCCCGCAATTTTGTCGCGCTGACAAAAATGCGTGCGCTGTCTCGTTTCGATACAAGTTCGAATATCATTGGAAAAATTATGTAAATTATTATAAAATTATTATTACAAGGTGTTCTAGAAAATTTACGAAGTTTGTCACCGAAGGATAGATTTGTTTCCTTCAACTTTTTGATGAATTATATTTGTGACAATTCGATGAAAAGTTTGTTGATTTTGTATGACTTTGAGATTTCAAATTGATTTTTAATGTATCTTTTACATTGACGTCTAAAACGTTGAAGCAATTATTGTTTTCTCTAGTATCTTTTGTAAACGAGAAAACGTTTGAGACACCCGGTGTAATCGTCCACGGGACGAAATATATTCGTTGCAGCGGTCTTTCCTTTCTTTGGTCAAGCTCTCGCAATGAGTCTACTTATGTAGGTATCTAGACAACAAAGCAAGATCCGTGTGAAAGCGGCGCTCTCCTGAATGGTTGCTGACGTCAGAGCGCGAGGAAAAATTGCGCAATTTCACCATTCGAGCCGGAATTTGTTCGCGCAGCTTTCTTTCGGAATTGAATCTGCCCGGGGAGGAAGTGGCGGAGAAACGGGGATGGGGAATCGCGATGATTCGCTTCGTGAAACACGCGGCGCATTGTCCGGCTTGTGTGGCGCGACGTGTACAAAGTTTTTAATTAACGTTATTTTGGCCCGTTGTTCTTTCGATCGACGAAAGACAAGTGTTGAATGTATGTGTGCAAAATATATTTTTAAACGTGTTAAATTAATAACAATTACGCGTATTAATTTACACGTTTAAAAACATTGGTTTCACTTATCAGTCAAACGCCATAGTGAATCTCTTATATAAAATATGTGGTAACAAAAAAAAACAGAATAAAATTCCGACACGTGCAATTAATGTAGTGTGTAAGTGTAGATCAATGATAAAACTTTTTCTTGTATTGATAAAAAATATTACAAATTTTTTTTCAATTATATGTTGGTCTTCTCTAGTTATTACAAAAAGAAGAAAAAAGTCCTAACAACTATTCCTCCTATAAAAAAAAATCTATTTGGACCGCGAAGTGCGCATTTTGATGTCGAATGTATCGCATCTATTGTTGCTTCTTTTCCACGTTGCCGATTGATTGGTTTAAATGTGTACATTATACATATAATTTATTATATATTTATAATATTATATTTTATATCGTATATTATATGTATTACATACATACTACAGTAAGATCACTGACCCGGTCGCGTGACCGCGACGGGGTCATTGACCTCGGCCGCGCGGCCTTGGGGGGGTCACTGACCTCGGCCGCGCGGCCTTGGGGGGTTCACTGACCTCGGCCGCGCGGCCTTGGTGGGGGGAGGTCACTGACCGCGGGCGCGCGGCCTTGGTGGGGGGAGGAGGTCACTGACCGCGGCGGGGTTACTGACTTCGGTCACGTGATTACGGTATATATATATACATATATGCGTATGCGTGTGTATTATATATAGTTATAGAATATTACATATAATATATATAATATTCTCTCTTTTACCCTCTTCCCTGTCACGTGTTGTTTTTCCACTTCTCTCTCTCACTATTTTTTGAGTTTGATTTTCATGCGTTACTTCTGAGATTTCTCATATGTGTATTATATGGTTTATAAGACATATATACTATCTATCATTGCGATGACAGGTTGTGTTCACTGACAACACGTTAAATAAAAATAACAATAGCGTGCGCGTAGCGCGCGCCTGTGTTGCGCTAGTATTATTAAAAAAAGGATGTGCTCTAATTGAGTAACACACGATAAATTGACAACAATAAATTCTCCTTCAAACTCGATAACGAACTTTCACATCGCACTTGTTTCTTTGATGAAATACGAAACTCAAATGTGGATCGAACCTTTTAAAGACCCAAAAAATGTTTCTAACCATTTCGGAGAGAGATATTTCTGAGATCTATAGAATGGTTAAAGATATAATTAGATCCTCTCAGATAGCTTTCCGTGCGAGACACGAACGTCCTCTTGATGTGTGCTTGTTGTATATGCCACTAAGTGATACTTCTCCGTTTGCAGTGACGAGCAAATTGGAGAGTTTCCTTGACCCGAATAAAACATCAGGATTCGCGCAAAGCTGCTTCACCTACTGCTATATAATCGCCTGTTACACGTAACCATTTCTTCCTCGCGCACGCATGAACGCGTAAGCGAGTTGCGTGCGCGCGCGCGCGCGCGGTGATCGCGAAGAAACTAGACGCTAAATAATACTCGTGCGCGCCGTAATACGCGTTGACCTTCACCCACAGATGCCTTCGACGATCATTGCCGCGCGGCGAGTGTTACTTTCCTTCCGGTATCTATCTCTCGGAAATGTTTTCTCGTCCTGGTTCGATGTCCCCGAAAGTCATTAAAAAAAAAATAAAGATCAAAGACAAACTTGTAACTTTAATTTCGCTTCCTTTTTCCTTATGTAAAAAAAAACAAAAAAAACAAAGGATTACTTTGAAAGTGCACAGCGAGGCTAACTCTCGCTCTAAATTTCGTTCGAAGCGAGACGGGGAAACGAAAACTTCTCTTTGAACTTCTTCGATTCTAATTCTGTTTTCTCAGCAGTCGAAAAATAAATAGAGCAAGAATTGTGTCGGAGAATACGGAAAGGTGAAAGAATAGTGGGATCGCAGATCTAAATTTCCGCACAAAAATATATTTCTAAATGTCAATTTCAACTTTTTTTAAAGATAGAGAGAAAGAGATACGATTATGTTGGATATTAATATACAATTTCTATTTAGTATTTTCTATTGACAATTTCTTCACGCTAATGTCTTACTCGACTTTCTCATTACGTTAGAGCACAAGAAAAAAAAACGTATTCATTAACGTGAAGAAAACACAATTTTTTTAACTTTTTGTTAGTTTTGAAAGTTTAATCTCGTTTTAATTAACAATCGCAACGATCATAGACGAATTTGTCGCAATATTTTATTTCACAATGTGATTGACAAAACAACATGTACATAGCGTTGTTATAATTATCAAACAAAACTGAAACTATACAATAAGAACACGTTTTCAAAGTCGTCGACGTGACCCTAAACGTGGGCGCGGTCGAGGACTTTCGCTGGAAAGTCTCATTCTCGACTTCCGACGCTGCGCCCGAGACGGAATGGACCCTAACCGACTCGAGGTTGGTGCGATACAATCTCGGGGCCGCCGTCCACAATGATAATGATGATGATGACTAATAAAAAAGAAAGTCGCGCCAGTGACGTACGTTGCGGTCCGGGAAAGCTTTTTCTGTTGCGTTCGACAATCGCAATTCGACGGGGCGGGATTGGAGAGTGATGTCTTTTTTTTTTCTCTTTCTACTCGTATCGGCGGGGAGAGGAGATACAACGCATACGTCAAGAATGTCAATTTTCTCGCCGGGTAATGAGCGGCATCGAAGTGGCCGAGGTAGTTTTTGGTGAAAGCCAAACGACATCGAGAGGGGAGAGTATATAGGACGCTTGTCGTTTCAGGCGTGCTCACAACTAACGCATCGCCCAAGTAGCCGGCGTCTTGTACGATTCGAAATACCTGAGATATCGAGCTATATCCGTCGATACATATCCGTTTCTCTCAGGCGCCGATCGCGGAAATAAGAAAAGAAAAAGAACTCTCTTTCTCTGTCGAGCATTTTTTTGACCGGTGGCCCCCGGAGGTGGGAGAAACGCGCTCTGTAGGACGGAGCGCACCGGACAAGAAAGAAGTCACAAGTGCCAAGTGTGTGTGCCAATAGGATTATATCCCGACCTATACTTCCGCTGCGTCACGAGGAGGAAAAGAGGTTTGTGTTGTTACATACGTGATCTAATCATCAGATATCAGTGATATCAGTGATATAAGCGATTCTCTTTATCGGTGGTGCAATTTGTTGTATGTATATATGTTCACGACTGTTTGCGTCCTTGTTGACAGTGAGAGTAAGTCAAGTACACATGATTGTGTATCAGACGCCAGTGCTCATCGAATATAATTGTCCGATGCTTCTCAAAGACAATAGCCCTAGTCGCCAGAAATTATTTTATGACAAAAGAAAACAATTTCTCTAATCCCGGACGTATGATCTATTCCATGTTAAGGTCCCAATGATCAGACAGACACTAGTGGACGAATTTGTTAAAGAAATAATTGCAACAAAGTATTTATACGTGAAGAGTTGGGATAATAATAATTTAAAAATATATTTTTAAAAATTATCTTAAAAAGTTTAAAACATTAAAAATTGTTTTGATTAATATTTACGTATCTAATAATTATTTCTTTAATAAATATTCGTCTGTTGGCGCACATCCGGGGTCAATGATGGGATATTTGTTTTATCTCTTTCGATCACAACAAATGGTAGAGTAAACAAGATTACGTTAAAAGATTACGTTAGACTTGTGTTATCACGGAGAAATTTTTTTCTATCAATATATTCAAATAACTTCTTGCATATTTATCGCTGAGAGTGCGCGCGTCTTCTCGGCGCGCTTCGACGTGATAAAAACGATCGTCGACGATAGAAGTTTTCGCACTTTATCAAATGTCGCAACTTCTCTTGTTTCATTGACGGAGAAGAACAACCGGGGAATCTTTCCTCGCGCCGTTTGTTTCCCTCTTCTTCGTTTCCCCACTCGCGTGGTCCCGCGCGGGCACACTTTGAAAAGGCAAAAGGATATGTGGGGTAGCGAGTCAGTGTGTCAGGCGTTCTGGCGTCTCTCCTCGCGCTGAGAGGCGCGTCGTCCTTCCTCTTCTCCGGCTCTATGTCAAGAATAAGGCCGTGCGTAGGTAGGGAGAACATCTGTTATGCGAGTCGGTGATTCTCCGGAACGAGGAGAGAAAGAGAAAAGACGAAACTTGTACACATCCTAAATCTTTTCGACGCGGATAAAACGCGATTTTCTTAATGAAATCGACAAATGTAATAAATTAGAGAGATAATAAATCTTAGAGAATTACTTGTTCAATTAGAGAAATCGGAAAAGGTCACTGTTTGGAAGAACCGAATTCTCTCAATTAATTGCTTGAATCGCGAAGATGATTAACGGGCGAGTGACACACAGTAGGTGTTTTCGACAGAGAGATAAGACGATTGAATTTTATTCTCTGATCTCTTTCAGGCGCCGCGCACAGTATAGTCCCCCCCGTTATGCTTTCTACCAAGCTCATAAAGTTTCCACAAAGTTCCTTTTGTCGCAAACCGTGATTTTCCGCTTTTCTGGGCGCGATTACGCGCAATCGCTCGGCGGCCGCTCGTTAGCCGCGTTGAAATTCAACCGCCGCGCGCGGTGTACCTACCCCTGCGCTGTTGTAACAGAAGAAGATCGTTCGAGTACAATTTCACGCGCTCAGCAGAACGGATCTTAGAAATCGACTCGTCAACGAATTCAGTTGCGCAGTTCCCGAACGATGCGATTCGGCAAATTTTTCAGAGGAAACTCTCTTGAAATCCGCGCGCGATGTTTGACTCTCTCTCTCTCTCTCTCTCTAGCGTAACTCTGCAATTGTTCGACGCAAAGATTTTTAATTACGCTGAAATTTCTACGAGTCGACATTGTCGTTTGATTATTCTCTCGAACGCGTAATTACATTATCATTTGCTCAGCTGAAAAAAGTAACAACAATTTTTTTTTTTCAAATTTCACACTAATTACTTCGAAAGCAAGCTAATGAAAAATATAATTACAACGCGGAACGCGAGACGAAAGAGACGACGTGAACGCGCATACACGTTCGCGATATACACACATCGCTGTTCTATTTCCTTTGGAAAAAAAAAAAAAAAAAAAACAATTGGAGAGATAATTTGTAAATTACAACGTGCGCTCGCGCGCGCAAAAATCTAGTACCGCTATAAATATCTCG